TCTAAGGGGGAAGTAGTATGGAGATTGCCAATGAAAAATACGTATTAAAAGCTAACAAGATAATTCTAACTGGAAAGAAAGATCATGAAGGAAATGATTTCAGGGATACATGGTGATAAAATGCGAAGTAACATCCACTGAGAAAGTGTGTTTAAAATAATGTTGTTAAAATGCTCTTTTAAAAGATAACTTTACCAGATAGCTTACAGTTTGTGTTGAAAACTGAATTCAGGAAGCTGACAAGAACTCAAAAAACATTAGTGATTATGTTTAGGAAACAGAAAATTTTTAACTAACACACAAAGACTTGGTGCTATAGAAAGAAGAGAAGAGGCTGGGAAGAGGGAGAGAAAGAGCAAAAGGAAAAGGAGGAGGAGTAAAAGAGGGAAATACTTTGAGAGCTCTTGATGGCCTAGACATTTAAAATATGAGATTTTAAAATAAATAACTGTAATTTGTGAGAATACACTATAAGAATGTACTTAGCAAGGAAAAAAGACAACAAAATAGAAAATGCAAATAAAGATAAGACATGTGCATGAAGAATTCAGTAGATTTCACACCAGAATAGTAGAGTCCTAGAGAGCAGGAATTGAGAAAACATTGATATGAAGAGTGTTTAATGAATGTTACCAAAATCTCTCCAGGAATGAACGATCTGAGTTATCAAGTTGGAGGATCTATGAATTACATAGCTCAATTAGCTCAACAGAATAAACTTCCAGGAGACTAGAAATAAACACAAAACAATTAAATTTTATTTCAGAGAGAGCAGTGTTCTGGATGAGAATATTGTCAGCTTGCTGAGTCCTTCATTCAAGTTGTTAAGATGGTTGAACAGTGCTTTGAGATTTGGGTGAAGGTGACATCCCATCCGTGTTCTAGATCTCATGCCATGTAATTCTGATGGCGGAATAAAGAAGTTTGCAGGTGTGAAAAATGACCCAGCGATCTGCCTCCCTGCACTCTTTTTGGCAAGCTAATGAAGACTGTGGTCCTCTAAGAAGGAGTAACAAACATGAGACAGGAACACACAGGAGCAGGGAGAGGGGACAGTTTAAAAAGCCAGGGAATCCTCGGAATGACAAGGGAAATCCTGGACTCCCGAGAAGCAGAGCCTTTGACTGAGAGCGATCTAAGACATGGGCCACAATGTGGGAGAGTGCCGTATACAGGAACTCGCATAAGAACAAAGTATAAGATAGATTTTCTGAATTGTCCAACTGTGTTGAAGTAGACTTACAGTGTGATGAGAGGATTTAGGGATACAGAAACTGACCAGAGGAACAGGACAAAAGAAATTACTAATTCCAGAACATACAGAAACACACAACAGAAAGGAAATGCAAACCTACCCATCAACCGTTGCCTCATACTTACAATAACATCAATGCACATGTCTTTGTCACTTTCTCCTTCCTTAGACAAAATACCCAGCACCCAGTACCTGAAGGAGGACAGGCTTTCTCTAACTCATGTTCTTGTCTATGACCAACTTTGAGGCAGAGTGGGCTTCGCAGAAGGGCCTGGGTGGGAGAGACCTGTTCCTCCCCCTACCCAGGAAGCAGGGGTGGGGGCTGCACCCCTCCAGATCACACTCCAATGACCCCACTGACCTCCCTGACTCCACTGACCGTGGTGGTCCCAGTGACCCCAGGGACCACCCCTTCCACCCATCCCGCCTCCTAACAGCAGTGAGCAATGGGTTCCCAGTGGATGAGTCACACATGAGTGCAACACCCAGGTCCCTCACCTTCTGAGGCCCAGCCTCTGAACACGCGGGCATTGGGGTCTGTCTTGGTTACTTTTCTCATTGCTGAGACAAAATACCCAATGCCCAAAGTGAAGGAAGGAAAGGTTTATTTAGCTTACACTTTGTGGAGGTTTCAGTCCATACTTGGCTGGCTCCCAGGCAGAAGACAGCAAAGCAACAAGAGCAAAGGGGGAATGGCAGTGCATGCATGCCTCTTTCCCTCCCTTATATTGTAAGCAGGCTGCCCCCACCCAGGGGGCGGCACTCACATGATTAACCTTCTAAACTTCTCACATTGACACAATGAACAGCATCCTAGAGCAGGAAGGGTGTAGATGTAGAACTGCTGAGTCACTTAGCCAAACCTCTAGACTCCCCAAGTTGACACAATGTATCAGCCATAACACTCCACCCCTTGTCAACTTGGCAACCAGAGACATTTCTCTAAACCAGTTTCCAGGTACAATTATATTCCATTAGAACCATAACATTTTGCCCCCAAAAGACTCATGCACATCCTATTATGTAAAAGGCATTTAGTCCATCTGCAAGAGTTGCCAAAGTCCTAACAGTTTCAGCATTGCTGAAGAGTCCAAGTCCCAAATCTCTGAGATGAAGGCAAACTCTTAGCTGTGAGCCCCTGTACAAATGAAAAGTTAAACACATCTAACATTCAATAGCATAAAATAAGCAGTACCATTCCAAAAGGTACAAACAGGGGGACACAGAGCATTGGGACCAAAGCAAGTCCAACATCCAGCAGGGGTAACGTTATGTCCTGTAGTTCCATGTTCCGTGTCTGAAGGAATCTGTGGCACATTGTGAGCTCCAAAGGGTTTGCACGAGTCCACCCCTATGGCACTTCCAGTGGTTACAGCTTCCATGGCTTCTCTCTTAGGCCTGCTTTGCTCCCTCCTTGCAGCTTTTCTTAGACAATCCACATTCCTGACTTTTCTAAACTTCTGAGGTCTCCAGTGCCCCTTTTGCTTCACACTCCCAGCTTCACACACTGCCCCCTCAGAGGCACACTGCCTGGCCTCCCAGGCCTTCTGAAATATGGGTGGAAGCCTTCTTAACCTCAGAACTCTTGCATTCTGTATACACCTAAGATCAGTGCCACATGGAAGATGCCAAGGTCTGCTGCCACCTGGAGCAGCAGCCAAGCTTTCCTCTCTTTTGGCCATAGGGGTCAAGTGCCTGGATCACTGGGCACTCTGAATCCACTTCTGAGGAGCAGATTCTCTATGCCGCTGCCATTCTGGAACCTGGTGCGGCCGCCGCTGCCCGTTCTGGAACATGGTGCTCTGCGGCTTCCTTCTCAAGGCAAAGTCTTTCACCTTTGCAGTTTTGAGGCTGCAAAGGTTGAAGACTTGCTGTTTGTGATCCCTCAGGCCATCTCTTTGATTCTCTTGTTCCTTTCAGCAATACAGATCTCCTCAGCCTTATCTTTGCAGTCCACAGCTTTGCTGGAGCTTCCTTTCTGACCAAACTCACAACATTTTAAATCATCCTGCTGGGCTCTTTGCTCTTGATTCTCAATATAAATCTGGCTAAAAGCCCCCAATAATAGCCATGCCACTTCCCCAACGTTCGACTGCCTTGAAATTTCTTTTGCCAGATTAATCAGTCTGCTGGCACCCTTAATCTCAGTCTTAGGCAAAGTCTCTGCACACGAGAAAAATGCAGACAAACTTTCTGCCGAGCCATAACACACATCATCTGGAGTCCAACAACCAGTGCAGTCCTTCTTCCCAACAGAAACCTCCGGAACCTGGTCTTTACCAGCAGGATTTCTATCAGCCTTCAGGACTTCTGAGCTCTGACCAGAATCTCCCAGACAGAACAGCCAAAGGCAATGCAGTGCTTCTCCTTCAGGCAACATCTTCACACTTTTCTAAACTCTTTCCACAAGCCATTTCCAAACTCTCTTGAGCCACATGGTCAGGTATAGTAACAGCAACGACCCCACTCCTCTGGTACCAAATTTTGTCTTGCTTCCTTTTCTCGTTGCTGAGACAAAATACACAACGCCAAAAATGAAGGAAGGAAAGGTTTGTTTAGCTCACAGTTTGTGGAGGTTTCAGTCCACACTTGGCTGGCTCCAAGGCAGAAGATAGCAAAGCAACAAGAACAAATGGGGAATGGCAGTGCATGCAAACCTCTTTCCCTCCCTTCTATTGTAAGCAGGTGACCCCCACCCAGGCGGGGACACTCACATGGTTAACCTTCTCAACTTGTCACAATGACACAATGAATAACATCCTAGAGCAGGAAGGGCATGTCCTTTTCACCCCAGGATGTAGAACTGCTGAGTCATTTAGCCAAACTTCTAGACTCTCCAAGTTGACACAATGTGTCAACCTTAACAGGGTCACTCCAGGCAAATCCAGTTTGACTTTGTGAAAAGTCAGAGTCCCCGGATGGACAGTGCTGAGTGTGTGCATGAAGCAGTGTTTATTAAGCACACAAACAAGTGCATACTTATCTTTCACAGCAAAAAGTCAGCAACTGGAACTAAATGTAGTCACAATTCTGAATTCCAAAATTAAAACAATATTAACGTGTTTTTTGGAAACTTAGAAGAAACACCTGAAAGAATTTCAAATGCTAGCACCAAGTCAGGTCAGGAGTGTGGAAGGTGTGGCCCAGTCTTGGAAAGGAATCTGTACTGTGTTCCGGGGATAATAGGAAATGTAACTCATTACAGGAAGGAAAGGGTGATTCTGTTGTAGGTCTCGATCACTCCCACACTGGTTCCCTGTGGTGTGATCTCAAACACTTCGCACGTGGGATGCTTGCCGGCCTACCATCAAAGTTACTCTCTAGTGAAGTATGAGTCCTAGCTAGGCTCAGTGGTGCTCCCCTGTACTCTCAGCTTGTGACAAAGGAACACAGGTGTTTGACACTTTACATAGGGGAAAAGCAGTCTTATGGCAGAGCATGGGTGGTATCAGGTTAGGTAACTATGACAACATTTACAAGAAACAAACTTAAGGAAACAGAAACTTAATCCTTAAAATGGCACTAGAACAGAAAATGGCGTTGGGGAAGCCTCACGTGATTTCAATTGAATCAGCAAATCCAGAAATCCAGCAGGGAGCTCTGCAGGGGCCATGGATTCCACAGGCATGGGGGTACAGCAGACACGGCGTTTGGCCACATAAAGTAGCACACATTCACCTGAGTGGCCTTGGCTCAGAGGCTCCATGTCCAGCTCAAGGAGAAGATGAGGCAGTTGGGGTTGAGGTCAAAAAGGTGTCCATGGGCCTGCACTGCCCTTCACTGCAGAATGTCCTGAAGCTTGACTTGTGATGATAGAGCTCTGAGCAGACAGCTGAAAAAAATGAGAGTTTGTTGATCACAGCAGCCGCTCAGGACAATGGACTATTAATGTCTGCATGGCATGAGTAGCGGTGAGGAGTGCTCTAAGCAGACCCAGCTGCTGCAGACAGAGATGAGGGAACCCACTGGCGGGATGTGGCATTTCATCTCTTATCTCAGTGACTGTGGTCCAGAGAGCCGTCGTCTTGTTCCTGGCCACTTAGGTGTCTCAGTGCCCCAGCCTCGTCCTCCCCACCCACCGCAGCCCTCGGGCCCTGGGTTCCCTGGAACGCCACGTCCTTCTGAAGCCCTTTCCTTCCTCCCAGCAGCGCCACACAGAGGTTCTTCCTTCCCTGTCCAGTGAAGGCTAATCCAAGCGTGTCTCATCTCCAGCCTTACGTAGTACATTTCCAGGCCAGATTAGCGATGCTCTAAGAATGAGGAGTAAACAGGAAACACGGGACTGTGCATATTCGTTGAAGGATTCCTCCTTTGTTTGAGGTACTGGGGACTGAATCCAAGGACAGCCAAGTGCTCTATTGCTGAGCAAATCCCCTGTCATTTCTGCTTTCTCTTTCGACACACTCAACTGTCGAGGCTGAGCTGACACTTGCAATCCTCCTGCCCCAGCCTCCCAAGTAACAGAGTACAGGGGTCACATCTGGGCACACAGCTTTCTCAAGGACTCTGCAAGCACAGCCTGGCTTGGGGAAGTGTGGAAGGGGCAGCGTGGATGTGGGGAGCCACACACGGCCTCACAGTGGCACGGGGCAGCTTCCTGCCTCTGCGCAGGAGGTTTGTGCCACACAGGCTTGAGAGGCAGAAAAGCTGTTTGCCTTCTGGGATGTCCAGGTGTCCACAGCGACATAGTCCCAAGGAGAAACAGACACTGTTTTAGCTATCATTTTAAACCAGATATTTACACACTATCCCCAATGGTGCAAGCCTATAATCCCAGAACTGCAGAAGGCTGAGGCAGGACAACCTCAAATTCAAACCCAGACTAATCTCAAAACAGCCCCTATCTCAAAAAAAATAGATGATAGATAGATAGGTAGATAGATAGATAGATGATAGACATAGATAGACAGATGATAGATAGATAGATAGATAGATAGATAGATAGATAGATAGACAGATTAGAAAGGGCTAGGCCCTTGGGGCTGGGGATTTAGCTCAGCAGCACAGTGCCTGCCTGGCAAGCGCAAGGTCTTGAGTTCGATTACGGGTTCCGGAAAAAAAAACAAAGAAAAATAATAAAGAAAGGGCTAGGATCTTTATATAAAGGGCAAAGGCCCTGGGTTTTTTCTCAGCCTGCAAAACTGACGGCCTCTTTAGAATGAGCTGGACCTTTATTCAGACAATGGCTTATCCACGTGCACTCCATGCCCTGGGAAGAGGAGCTGCGTGAGGCCCCTAGACTCCCCATTTTGTGTTCCTCACTGCGCAGTGCGGTCCGCGGGTGTGCAGACGCACCTCGTGTGCGTGGAGGCTGCAGACCCAGGAGACGGTCTGGGCTCGCTGTTCCTTCCTCCTTCCTCTCCTCCCGCTTTTGTAGTAAGTACCGCTGCTCATCCACCAGTCCCCCTCCCAAGGGGCGTGGGAGTTTCGTGTGTGCCTCATTCGCTGCGTGCCCAGAGGCAGCGAGAGGGAGTGGTTGATGACCGCATGGCTGTCTCGCTCAGCCGTCCACAGGAACCCTGAAGGCGCTTTCCCTGCGGACATTCGACCGTGAGGAGAGGAAGGGCGGTTTTCGGCTCTCTGCTCTTCCCCATTTGCGCACGCTGCTTCCAGTGTGAGCGCGGCCAAAGCGAGCACAGCACTGTCGTGGCCAAGGCGCTTATTTACTTGTGTCACCCAAGGCGGCTGGATGCAGAGACAAGCAAGTTCCTCGGGGGCTGGTGGTGCGCACCGAGCGCATGGCCGAGCGCCGACCCCCACGGGCGGGCGGGGAGGACAGGTACACAGGTCCAGTTCCCGGTCTAGGGCGGGATGTTGCTGTGATTTAGTGCAGCTGCAGAAATGCTGTGAAGCACGGGCTCAGCTGGTGACAAAGGAACACAGGTGATTGTCACTTCACACGGGACAAGCAGTCTTACGGCGGAGCATGGGGCGGTATCGGGTTAGGTAACTATGACAACATTCACAAGAAACAAACTTAAGGACACAGAAACTTCAGCCTTAAAATGGCACTAGAACAGAAAATGGCGTTGGTTTAGCTTTCTTTCCCAGATCAGCACATGCTACTTTTAAAAACCATTAATAATTCCCAGTTATTCCTTGCATTGGAGAAAGGGTAGAAGCATCTACTTGTTCTGTTCGGCAAACAGCTTTTCAATTTGTACGTAACCAGAAAAGCAATCGGTGGTTAGAAGAAACCGAGCAGCTGAAAAGAGATGCGGTATCTCCGCCAGAATCGCAGGGAGGCGGTCCCAGTGGTGCAGGGGCCGCACCACCTCCTCACATAGAAAGTGCCATTAATCGCCCCCATGCAATGAGGGGCGCATCCAGTGCAGTGCGCTAGCAACTCTCCTTTGAAAAATCCAGCGGAATGAGCCACACTGCGCAGTGTGTCACATTTAATATCAGGGATAAAACAGAAGTTAAAATCTCGAAGATATAGCGAGGTCTGTGTTAGCGTAAGGGAAAGGTTGACTCAAATAATTTAATCAGGGAGTTGGTGCAAATGAAGCAATCTGAAAGCAACCCCAAACTCCTGGAGTTTGTATGTTCCCTGATTATTGAACAGTTCACAACTTCTTATATTTAAGAAAATGTAATATAGTTATGAGCTATCTCTATTTAGGTTGTTATAAATTAAATGCATTTACAGGAGTAAGCAAGTATTTAAAACGTATCTGCGTAAGTAGGAGAAGTTTGACAATTTAAGACACTGGCGTTGAAACACACCCATCTGACTACCGGAGACCCTACAATCCCTCATACGACATTTTCCTGCTAAATAGTTCATTCATGCCTGCATATGCATTTTTTTAATTAAATGTTTACAGTGTGCAAAAGAAATAACTGTGAAGATGCACATTCTCTGCTTTCATAAGGGCCCTAGATTTATCACAGAAATTAATTCTTTAAATTGCTAAACATAGTGATGTTAAAAAAGTATACAGTGCTCCGAGAATGGGTAATGTAGCCCCTGACTCACGGGACACAGCCTGCGGGACACCTCACGCTGGGTGCTGGGAGGTCCACGTTGGAAACACAGGTGCCCATGCTGTTCTTCGTCTCCAGCACCTCAGCTTAGGCCAGCACCGTGACAGCCTCAGCCAGCTGAGGTGGCGGGAGTATTGTCAGGACAGCCAGATCTCATCCGGAAGTCCTGCTGGCCTGGAGGTCATTACAACTGGGGTTCCCAGTCAAGCATCTTGCGGACTCTTGGTATCTAAGTTGCAACATGCATCAATTAACATTGGGAAAGTCTCCAAATGGATTTTAAAGATGACATAGACCTAAGTACATCTCACCCCAATCGCCACAGACTGTAAAAAGCTGATGAATCGCAGCTGAGACTCATTCTCCATGATCTTTGTAAATGGGAGCAGCATCACAATTAAGGCCAAAGGACATGTAATTCCAAGAGGTGAATGAAAGCACCACGATGAAGCTCTGTCCCCAAACCAGGAGGAGGGAAGGGAAGCGAAAGCCAGGCTCCAAGTGAGGCTTCCTTGCCCGTGTGCTGCAAAACGCGCTGGGACTCCACTTGGTAGCATCCTTCCCAGGAGCCTCCCCGGCAGAAAGAGCTGCTCTGGAGGCTGCGTCCACGTCCACTTCACAGGAGGCAGCTGGCAAATGTGCACCTATCGGAGGCTGTGCTCTGGAGCTGTGCAGAAAAATCCCCACTCCAACTCCTTCCTAAAATTGTATTTTTTACCCCTTTCCTGCCACATTGTGTCATTAGTTTATCTACTGTGGAGATCCTGATTCCTTTATCAGATGGTGAGTGTGGAGGGGAGGGGAGCTCACCCTGTCACTCAGGCATTTCATTCTCAGCTCAGACAAGTTCCAAGCACTGCACAGATTCTCCAAGGAGCAAGTTGGTCTCCTGGGTTGTGTCAGAAGAACAGAGCCGAGTGCCAGGCGATCCGAGTTGGCAGTGACAGAAGGCACCACTGGAGCACAACCAGGAAAAGCAGCACTCCAGAACGAGAGGAGTTTGTGAATAAATCCATCTTCAGGTACCTGCTGGATTAAAGTCTTCATGGACCATAATTTCTCTGGACCAATTCAAATACTGTATATGAAACTAGTACAGTGTAAATCATGGGAAATGACCACTGAATTGTTTGGTTTACAGATGACATGTTAGTTAGGAAGACAAAATTTGGGAGGAAGATGAAAGTATACATAATCTCTGTCCAGATTATTATGAAGTTTACCAAAAATATCATAGTATTTGATATTATATCTTGAGCATCCAATGAAAGAGTATATGCCAAAAATACTTATAAAACTGAAACAGATTTAATTTAAAATTATAAAATGTATAATTTTTGTTATGTCTTACCAGGAAATATCATTAATTTTTAAGATAGCATTTAAAACTATGGTGCTAATTTCTCAAAGTTAAAGATGTTGGCAAGACATACACTCTTTAGGCAGGGCAGAAAGTGAAAATAAAAGTAAACAAACAACCCATACTTATCTTAGAAAATAAAGGACACTCATTAAAAGAGAATAACTATTATAGTCTTACTCAGATTAATGAATAGGTAGTTCTGCTTTCAGTCATTCAGTGATATCATAGAATAATCGTTGTTATTGTTATGTATTTCACATGGTGTTTGAAGTAATACAAACTGGCAGAGTTAGTATACAAGTCTCTCTCAAACCGTGTTTACTGGAGTTAGAATATTTCAGTGAAAAATCATGCATTAACCATACTCAAGAGATTAAGTTCTTTAAATCCTAAATCTTCTGCAAAAACTCTCTTATGTTTTATACTTGATATAGTTCAAATCAATTAAATGAGTGGGTAAATAATTAATGCTTCCCATAAATAACAGAAGAAGTGTATTTGTCTAGTGTCGCTATTCCCCTGTGTGAATGATTCACCTTGTTACATCCACAGCCTGACCCCAACCCTGTACCTCCCAAAGGATGAACACACTTGCAGAGGGGCAACCACTCAAAGACAAGACAGGAGTTACTGTTCAAGTATGCATAAACTTGTGTACTTACTGCGATAAATGCTTTTATAAAATCGATGCTTTTACATGTATGAATGAGTAAATCTGACCTTTACAAATGAAAAGGGGACCACGAGATGGGGGAGGGGAGGGGACGACAAAGAGCGAAGGTGTGTGACATCCACAGACTCGCTCCCCAGGAAGAGTCATCACCATGCACTGCAAACACAGATGCATAAACATGCAAACGCAAATGCCTGCCTGGAGGAATGTCCTTATAATCAATTTACTTCAAAGAAAACTGTACACAATTATATTAAAATTTTCAGTGGTCCTTGTGGTTTTGTTTAATTTGTGAACAAAACAGAATCCAACCTCTTTGCTTTCCCCCCAAATCAATGTTTTTGCATCTTTTGGTCATATTCAAAGTTGATGAAACCAAATATTATTTCACTAACTGGAAAAATCAAAGCCACAAGGAGACAGAACAGAAATGAGTGCCGGGCCAGGGTGCGAGGCCCAGTGGGGTCCGTGACCAAGGGGGCCACCCCAGAGCTGCGGTCCTGGAGCCCCCACAGCAGCGCCCCACTGGCCCCTTCCTCTGACCGCAGCGGTGGATTTGCTGCAGATGAGCGGCATTTCCAGGTCTCTCCGGTCCTCGATAAGCTCAGCCTCCCGGAAAGGTGCAGAAGGTCTGACCACGAAGCCACTTTGGCCAAAAGGAGGCCGGGAAGCCAAAGCTGGCAGAAGCGGACTTGCGCAGCTCAGAGATCCCCAGGCGAATCAGATTTAGGAAAGACATAGAAACAGGACTGACTGCAGAGTTTCTGCTGCGGGCCAGTGTCTCTGCGTGCAACCATAGCAACAGTAGAACGCGGGGCTCTCAGATCTGGAGCGAGAGCACGGCAGGCGGCCTTTGCGCAGCGAGACACCTGGGCTGCCTGGGCCGCACCTGGGCCGCACCTGGGCCGCACCTGGGCCGCACCTGGGCCGCACCTGGGCCGCTGCTTTCCCCACGGAGACCGCCGTCTCCAGCCGCTCACCCCGTGTCTCCGTCCACGGGCGCGCACCTGCCCCCCGCAACCCTGGCGCAGGTGCCCGGCGAGGGCGCCACGAAGGCCCTGGACCGCCTGGCTTTTGACACCAGACCTGAGCCTCCCTCGCCCGTTCTGCCTTCTGCAGCACAGGGCCCAGCAAGGGGAAGCGGCCTCCGGGACGCGGGGGAAAGGCCGGGCCGTGCAGGGAAGGTGACTGGGGGTGAGGATGGGACAGTCAGCGCCCTCGCTCGCTCCTTCTGTCCGGCGACGCTGTCACTACGCTGATGCCCCGCACTCTGCCGCCTCGGCAGGCCGATGTCCGGGACGGGGGCCGAGGTAAAAGCGGCCCAGACAGCGCCCGGGGCGAAGCCCATCGACCCAGGAGCAGTCGGCCGGCCTGGACCGGGGAGCGACCCGATCGGCGCGGAGATCCAAAGGATTAATTTAGCATTTGTTGGGTTGAATGGGACCTCTAAACCTAGTTTTCGGAGGAATCTCCAAACTGATTTCCACAGTGGTTTCACCAGTCTGCATTCCCACCAGCAGTGGAGA